AAGGTCATTACCTGGTGCTTGCCGTATTTTACTGAAAATATGTGTCATAAAACATCTGAAGTACATACATATTGAACCTCAAAATAAGAATTGTTTAATTTTTATCCCAACTGGGGAGGACAAGGTGATGAATATGCTGCAATCTGCTTTCTTCACATAATTATACAAAGATCCTAAGATTCTGTGTTCGAATCCCAGATTTACCCTGACAATGATCTTCAGTTTATCAGGGTCGTACTTGTCACTCTGGTCATGGGTTTCACAGTGTAGCTGACGTTTACCTGCCACACCTGGTGCTAGAGTAACTGTCACTACAGTAATAGTTATGTATGCAGACACGGAATAAATAATAATTGTGCAAACTTTTCATAATTTTGATTTGAAATTCTTAGACCCTGATTTCACCTGCTATTGTTTCATTGAAACATAATGTTATAAAGTACAACTTAAGACAATAAGAATGGTACATGGTTGTGATGGATGGTAGCCATTTCCTTTAGTGTATCAGTTGATTACTACCTTGTGTCTTAGTGCACTATCATGGAATAATGATTCATACGAAAATTCATAATTAATTATAACCACTACAAGTGATGTATTAGGATTCAGATATTAGGAAAATATAAATATAGAATATAAGTTTCATCATGGATCAGTAATACCTTAGGCTAGGATTTATCTAGAACATCTGTGAAATTGTGTAGTCGTAACTTACACCTTCTTCAATAGTATGTCTTTGAGATGAGTTTTACTACTTTTGACTGTTGTCTTTCTCTAAGCTATTACTGATCCATTCTCTCTATATATATATCTCTCTATATATATATATATATATATATATAAGAAGAAGTTGCCATGACGCCATACATTTGTATACAGTTGCATTGTCACGTCATGACAAATTGACGTCATAACATAATCCGTTTAACTGTAATCACTTCTCCCTGAAGATAAAAGTGAAACATGTTGGAGAAGATCCGTGTCGTGTGATTATTTCAGAAACTTCTTCTTATATATGTACTACTGTACGGTCGGTATTCTCATCACTTTCTTTATATATATATATATATATATATTCCTACCATCTGAATCCTAATATATCGCTTGTAGTGGTTATAATTAATTATGAATTTTCGTATGAATTATTATTCCATGACAGCACAATTGGGGACACGGTATTCCTGTACAGTTATTATGAGGATGTGCTGACCATGTTCATACTCGAGTGAACAGTAATACATGTAAGATAGTGTATTAACACTGGTTCCAGGGTTTGGCCATGTTCATACTTTGAGCAAGTGAGTTGGGTTTCATTACTTTGAACATGAGTTCAGTATAACATATATTTGTTAGGACCAGGGTGGTGGGGTAGCCTAGTGGTTAAAGCGTTGTCTCGTCACGCCGAAGACCTGGGTTCGAATCCCCACATGGGTACATTGTGTGAAGCCCATTTCTGTTGTCCCCCGCCGTGATGTTGCTGGAATATTGCTAACAGCGGCGTAAAACCAAACTCAGTCAGTCAGTGCTAGGACCAACATTTAGTCCTTAACATAATGTTACCTTGTTTTGATACACATATCTGTAAATTGAACAAAATTGAGCCCAGGACAAGGATTAACTTAGACTTGTTTATTCTAGACTTGAGTTGCACTCTCTTATTTTCATGTATTCTTCAGGGTCTGGGAGACAGACGCATCTGTGATTGTTTAATTTTGGAGGAAATTCCTAAGTGATGTAGCAGATTTTTTGACAAGCAGTTCGCATTGGTTTGTACTGACAAAAGATTCGTAATAAGAGAAATCCTGAATGGGAACAAGCAGATCCTGCGAGCTAAGGGAAGTAACTCTTCACAATGAAGTGGGGTGCTTTCAACAATTGGGTCTCCACAATTGTATAATGATGCATTTGAATTTTTTAATAATGATTCACTAAAATGGTTACAGAGCTGAATTTTCAGTTTCCTTTATAACGATGGAATAGCATCGTTTCCCATCTAAACTCCCCACGACTTCAGTTGGAAATAATTCTCATTTTACAATCTCCGTATGAGAAATAATAAAACGTGTGAATGCTATATGTCAAATATCAGGACATGTATTAGTTACAAAGGTGAACAAGTTGTCTATTGTTTGGCATGTCAGCAATGATTTTTGATAACATTAGTAGGCCAACATTGTTCCCAGTGAATGGAAGCCAGCAGATCTCACCATGAGGGGGGTGGCAGCAGTGTAATATGAGTGGGCAAACTACACTTGGTAGTGGACCGACTTCAATGAGCTGTTTTGGCCTATTGTTAGTAATTACTGCTTGTTTCCGTGGTAGCCAGGAAAGGTTATAGAAAGTAGGTATATCAGGATCTGTTCAGGCTGTTTTGATGAGGCTGAGAATTGTATTAATAAACTTGAAATCCTGTTGGTAGGAGTCTGTTATTAACTTGTCCTGGGTTGGCCAAATTATAAAACATACCAATATTCACATCGGTATGTATGTGTTGTCCTTATGGTATGACTATTTCAATGGGGCGGTTGGGGTAGCCCAATGGTTAGTTTGTCCGCTCATCATCACAAGACCAGGGTTCGACTCTCCCCCACCCTCCCCAACACCCCATGCTTATTGTTGGTGTCCTTGCTGTGATATTGCTGGAGTATTGAAATAGTGATAAAACCATGTCTTCTGCCTTTTGTTTTTTCATTTTTACCTGTAATGGACTTCAGATGAGACAGACTTGTTGCTTCTAAGAACTAGTGCATTTGATATCTGGCCTTGCGAGAAGATGGTACTTGTTGGCTGGTGCTCAGCATTAATGAGGACAGGTCTGGTTGTTCATATACTTTACCAAAACATTAAAATCAAACGTGTGCTGGCCTAGTCACAGATATCTCTGAACATGTTTAATTCCAGTGGTGAAATATAATTTCTTCTGTCTATTTTTCCAAAAGTCTGGTTGTTCTTTAAACATATACCAAAAATACCCCCAAAATTATTTCAGATATGTTTCGCATTTAGAATACTTTGAAGAAAAATAAGGGACTTTATATTTTGTTTTCAGTTTACATATTTTTGTAATAATGAAAATCATTGTAAAGATGAAACCAGGATATCGTGTGTGACAGGATTAATCAAAGATATGAATATACTGCCAGTGACTTTCCCCACATGGATGTATACTCAGCTGCAGTGCTGGCTCCGACAACAAGCAGTGGCAATGTGTTTTGTGTTGTCATGTTACCTATGTCATACCATGCAGGACTGCATGTGATATCCACCCTCTCCATGGCCACAGGGTTAGAATCCTGTAATTCCATGAGAAGAATGTATTGATCCTGATGGACACACCCACCCTCAGGTTACTAGGAAGATTACGCATGTGTACAGTTTGTCCTTAGTCACAAACATGCCTCCCACAAGCTGTAATTCAATAGATTATTGACTTGACTTAATGCCGTGGCTCCTAGGCTTGTAGCAAGGAGAAGAAAGGAATATTGGTATGAGCCGTTGAAACGTCAGTGCAAGCTTTGAAAAGCTGGTGTAATGGAATGTTTCTTTGATAAAGGACACTGAGAGAGTATGAGTCTTCTTTGTTCTTTATAGAAACTTATAATCAAGCATGTAAAGACGTAAGTCCGAAACCTGGTTTAAAATGGTGGAATGGTATATATATAGATTTGTGAGCTGGTGAATTATTTTGATAAAAGTCATCGGAAGAAGTAATTTGAACAAATAATTGACACCAGAGTTCAACATTAACTTTGGTTTGCTGGTCGAAGTCTTGTATATTTCCTTTAGGACCAGTAATATTAATAATGCTGGTATTATGGTCTTGCGTTATTTTGGGGATTGTACATCGTACCACTGACAGATGTTGGCCAGTGTCAAACTCAGTGACACCCAGTTTAGTTAAATGTGAGATAGCCTATTGGGTGAAGCATTTGCTTGTCCCACCCAAACCCTGCAGTCAAATGCCCACATGGGTAAATATTTTGAAGTATATGGCAGAGCATTCATTCAGTCATTCATTCATTGTATTTGTTTGACTCATGGATATTGTATATTAGACATATAATTCATATAGTGTTAAGCTTGTATGACCAATGTTCCACAGTGATCTGTGATTAGTGATGTTAGCATTTGGCAGTAAATATAGTTGTAGATTTAACTAGTGTTTGCAATGCTTTAATTTGAGAGTTGGCCATCAGGGCCTGCTGCCGCCTGTAGCCTTTAAGATCTACAGGCCCTGAATGAAATCTGCAGCCCCATTTTGTTAAATTCAAACCAATAAAAACAAAATAGACTACACTGTACATAGTTTCACACTGTTTCTACAAAATCAATTAGCGAAGCCTATGACGCAGAGAGACGTTTTTACTTGTTAAAGACTGGTGTTGTCATGTGCAAAGCGCGCTGAAAAACCAGGAGGTGAAACTGTAAGTTATCGTAACATGGTGGATCACGGTTGATTCCCGAACGTTAATAAAGGGGAAAAAAACAACAGAGGAAAGATTCCAGTTGAAAAATAATATACTGAAAGCCACAAGGGCCTGCAGATATTTGAAACTGCTGGACCAACACAATAACAACCGGCGCTGGCCCTCCGGGCTGGCGATTATTTCCAACGCTGGATTTAACATCCCAAATGACCTGTTCTAAAGTGTATTGGGTTGTCAGACTTGTACCCTTGCAGTTTGATTACATGGCTTGTATAACATATTCCAGTACCAGGCTACGTGGGGATTCATGAGTAGAACTGATCCCCAGGAACAGATGCATGTGAAAAGCGAATAAACTAGATCAGGTGTTCAAAGTTTGCTGACTTTTCTATTATGTGTCGTCATCTTACAGCATGGGACAGCGATATTAACCACTGGGTCGTTTGGCCTTTTTACAAATGGTGTGATATAACTGGAATATTGCTGTCAGCTGAAAGCAACATTTATTCACTTACTCTCTCCAGTCCTGTTCAAATAAATTACTGTTGAATGTGTGTTATTTGTGTGTTTCAGGGTGATCCTTCTGGAGAGCAGGGCCACAGACGTCCCAAGTGAAAATTCCAATCTGTATGTTCTGGCTGGCCATGAGAACACATACTGAATAGGTCAGCACGACATGAACGCCATCATGTCCACCTGGCTATGTCCAGTTGACTGGCTAGTCTTTCATGTTCTGCCAGCAAGCCTCTGTTGAAACTAGCACAGCCTGCAGACACTGGGCAGAGTGACCATCAGATAAGTAAAACTGCCTGGTTCCACCTACAAGCTCTTCCACCTATGCCACAGCCACTAGCAATGAGGAAATGTGTCTGCTAAACTGATTGTGTGAGAAGCCGTTTTTGAAATATGTACTCATTATCACATTTATGGCACATTGTTCAGGTTTTATTATGTTCACTTTTCACATTTTCATGGATTGTTGCTGAATAAAATGTTTAAAAAATATACAGCCATTGCAGTTGACACCTTGTTGTCAAGTTGAAAGTGGTCAAAGAACCGGATGACAAGATGAGGGTATGCCATGTGTTGAGGAATCTGTGACACAGTTTTCAGGATTTGGAGACAAGACTTCTCCCAGTCTGGAGGATAATAGGACACGCTGTTTCCATCCTCTGGTTCAGTCAGTCTTTGTGATGGACACACCAATTCATAGATTTATTGTGTGCTGAAATGCTTTTCCAAGTATGCTCAAAACTGTTTTGATTATTTGTACAATCATATTCAAAGGTCACGATGAGCGGTGTATGTATGTGAGATGTGTTGAGAATCTGTAGACTTCACCCAGGTGCTTCTGTAGGCAAACCAGGGCTTTCCACAAAGAAATCGTTGAGTCTGTGTTAGTGTAGGGGGTCTACGACAATTGGCTTTGTGAAATGAAGCAGCAGGCCTCATCTACAAAGTGTTCAAAGTGTTACGACTATTGTGACTCTGTTACAACATAGTCTTACGACTGTCACCGTGCAATGAAGACTTTGTACATAAGACCCTGAACTGCTTCAGGTCAGCTTACAGGTCAGCTTACAGGTCAGCTAAGTAGCTTTTTTACCTCTGTTGTGAGAATGTTCGAGTGGATTCTCAGCTAATCTACACTCACACCCTTTTGTATTGAAAGGATAGTGTACAAGGTTCTCAGACCATGTAATGCATGCGTTAAGTTGGCAGTATAAATGAATATTGCATTAAAAAATTAGAGACATGTAGCTGGTGTAATAGATGTATATAAAAACACAAAATGTGTTTAATATTTGGTGAAAAATATAACATACAGATATAATCTGTAATTTTGAAGTTATTTAAAAATGGATTTTATGCATTAATGGGAGTTTCAGGATTCCAAGAAATGTATCAGCGTTTGTGATACTTGTCAAGGAAATGCTATGTGTTAAATTAGGAATATATAACCCAAAACCAGGTGATTCAAGGTGCTCAGGTGATACACTGTGTTCTAAAAGACCTATGTACTTATCAATATACCCAGATATTGTCTTTAGGCAGAAAGACCCAGCTTCCAGTAATGACCTTGATGCTTAAGTAACCTTTAACTTTGACTTGTAATTACTCATGAAAAAGGTCAGCCATGCTTGATAAAATATATTTGCCATTATTCAAGTTAATTAATAGCTAACTGGAAGCTAACACTAGATGCCTTGTAATGGATTTACTGTGTTGATAGTCCATGGTGATGACGTCACAGAATGACTAATTTACCGTTTTTTCATATTTAGTTCTGTACAGTTGGCACTGCTAATTATGTAAATATGTAAACAGTTATTGTATAGTTCCATGTACTTGTGTGCTTCAGGATGTTCTGTGGTTCCTGTTTTAATATTGATGGATGAGAGTGCGAGAGGGGTTATTATTTTACTTTTTGTAAACTTATTGAACACCATGCATTTTTCATGTTCAGTCACCCACAATAAAAAGATTTGTAAATATATTTGTGTTTAACCTAGTAAATTAATATTCTTTTTAGTTTCCATTGTTTTATTATATTTGAATGTTAAATTGTATAGTTATTTAATATGAGCATTAATTTTTCATGAAAAAATACAACTGAAGCATCTTTCAAACTTTCTGGACTAAAATGCATCAGCGATGATGCTACTGTCCGAAAGTTGAATGTTCAGCCAATGTAGCGGATACTTGTTGCAGTGGACGTATTTCTCCATCTACTCTGTTTCCATGCTTGTCAACTGTAACCTTCAGTCTAAGTAAACTTAGGCTCAGTGTTATTCGTTACACTGCTATACTGAGTCTAACAAACCCTAGTAGAAGGCCGCGTCAGCTAACCTTGGAGCGATCTGTGACCGTCCAATCATATGCGAGACAGTCGAACGGATTTCACCAATCAGACAACGACTACTTGTTAGGTTTCGGCGGGACTTACAAAACGATTTTTTTATTTTCTCTTCCCTGGTCGCTGAAACTGATCCATGAACAAATGAAAATCCGCAATTAACACAGATATTTGACGTGGTTACTATTAGCTTATATTTCCGCAAGATGACATCCTTGTATATGAGAAATCACTATTTTCAGCGATTGTTTACTCATTGCGTCCTCCATGTGTATCACTTGGAAGCGATCGTGTGGAAAATAGCATTCGGAATCATTCGAGTTTTTGAGGTAACGGTTCAAAAGCTATGTGCGAATTTCAACTTTCGCGATTTGGTAAGCTGTGACCTGATTGGTCAGTCCAAAAGGTTAGCTGACGCGGCCTTCTACTAGGGTTTGTTAGACTCAGTATAGCAGTGTAACGAATAATTCTGAGCCTAAGTTTACGTAGACTGGTGTAAGCTTGTACTTTTGTCTCCTCTCTACTTATTACAACAGCATTAACAAATTACAAAAATACGCACAGTCAACAGCATATTTTTCTGTGGCAAAGTAATATGTTTTTCATTTAGTGACATGATTTGTAAATAACATACATCTGAGAAACTGAATATTCCAAATGTTCTCCTTCAATCAATAGTTTAACTAAAAACATTGATGGTTATTCTAAAAGGCTGCTTGAAGGCCAGTAAACAATTGTGCAATATTGCCCACCACAATATTCCATGTGAAACTGAAAGTCCCTCTAGAGAAAGGTGTACATAATATATACGATGTATCATGAACTGTACAAGCACATTCGTACATGATTTACTCTGTATGAATTAGCTTTTGAATATAGATGTTGATGCCTTTGATCAGTATTTGTCTTCTGTAATGAATTTCTGTATGGCTTCCATGAGTTCAAGTGAAACATTATTTTGAAGTGTTTGAAAGTTGTGTCCTTGTTGTCATGGAGATGCTTTGTAAACAGTGGAGCCACACTGTAAGATTGTGTCTGATATAACTCATGCTACACCAGATTGAAGAAGTCTTTCGAACTCTTTCGAACTATCCTTATAATGTTGATCTTGTTTGAAAGTCTCTTGATGTCAGAAAATAGTCAATATGAGTCTCACAACAGGTTTCACGTCAGTTCCTTTTTTACAACATTGATTGCCCTCGAAAATGTCACAAGGATATTTTGCAATTTTTATACTTGTAAACCTTTTCTTTAAAGAAAATTTCTCCATTGAAATTAATGTAGAGCAGTTCTGATGTCATCGCTATGCCAACCAGGTGTTACAGTGCCTCAGAATAAGCCCTGTGTTATGATGATATTTTGTCCAGATGGCGCCGATGTTAAGTTCTGGCTCTTTTCCCCTTAGTATTTGTACCTTACCATGTTCTTAGAATTAAGATTTAAGTGCATATTTTCCCAAAGGCAACCAATTAGAGACAATCACCTTACCTCATTACAATATCCTGCCTTTGACATTAGTTCCTTGTTGACAGTCAGATGCAGTAGTTGTCTTGTGTGATCAGTTCAGAGCTATACTGCTCCAAAGAAGTTAAGCACCTGTTTTTTCTCTCATGAGGTTCTATTTATTCTGTCATGACATGACAGATTAAGTGCTGTCAAGAGAAAGAATTGTGTGTCCTTCAACTTCTTGTGAGTGGAAAATATTCAGTGTTAGGTCTCAGAGTAAATTATTTCCAAGTTTAACTGGGAACAAATTCATTCGTCATCATACACACTTATTTTGGGGATATTGTTTTCAAAACCGAAAACCATTATGTGAAGTTTGTGAAATATTTACGAAAGTATGCTTCATGTGGCTTTACACCAATGTGTTTGTACATCTCCAAGTCACAGCATGCATCCATAGTGCTCCTCTGACTGCTTAAATAAATGTCTATTTTTCATAATAACTTTAAAACATAGCTATTTTTATGTTTGTAGTTTGTAAATAAGATTCCCTGTTTCAATCAGATTTTTCTAATATTTTTCATTATGGCACTGTAGAATATGTACCCAGTCTCTGGATGGTATTGTGGTAATCTTGTATCGGGAAGTATGTAGACGAAGATCGAAAAAAGGAAGCATTGGACTAATAAACTTTCAGTGGTCTTTAAATCAATTTTCAAATTTTGACTGTTCAATCAGAAATGATTGATGCAAGCTTAAATTCTTCTTTTCAAAATTGTCGTCCATCTTTATTTGGCCAAATTAAAGCCTAAAATTGTTGTAGGGAGGATATGAACTGCTCTGTGTTCTATCCCATTGATAACTTACAATCATGTTCACCACATAAGAGTTGTGAATGATACCGAGGGTACAATATCTTCATTACACCAGCAGAACTAACACTGTTAAGATATCAACATTCGAAGAGAATTTTTCTTTTGAGAACAATTGTTTTTTTTCTGGGTATTTTTCCCTTCCCCCCAGCTAGAACTTTCCATGAAAGAAATGAATCTGGTCAGATTGTGTGTTCTGCGGAAATGAGTAGATGGCCCTTCAGTAAGCGGCGCTTCTAGTCAGGTTGTCAATGCTGCTACTGCTGTCAAAAGTTCCCCTGATAGTATAGTTCATATACCTGTAGTTGTATATATTCTGTATAGGAAGTCCTATACCACAATGTATAATGGCACTGTGCAACAGGTTTGTGCAAAATATGCTTTATAACTGTAGAGTGTTAAAAGGAACAGCTCTGAAAATGTTCCTAACTGATTATGATTTTTTCTTTGATTTGCAGCAAGTAGAGGGCTGTATAAATAGGCTCCATATTGATCATCTCTCCTGAAATTGCTGACTTGGCTGTTTATTACTGATTGCCAAGCATGTACACAAATGCTTGGTATTTCACAACACTGTGCCATACTTTTTCAACATAAGTGAATTCATGTAAGTTTGTTGCTAATTTGGGTTGCAGACTGGGTACAGCCTGTAACATACTGCCTGTAAAGTTACAGTAATGCTGTTACACTAATGACATTTTCTGATATTGACACACATGTTCCACCTTCCGTGTTTCAAGGTACTTCATATTGAACTTGAACTTACCAACATCTATATAACATTATGTTATGCTTAATCATAGATCTTCAGAATATATCTTCACAAGTATATAATTGTTGTTTCTTTTAATTTTATTTTAACATTAATATCTACCAAATTGTTAAATTTACTTCAAGTGACAATTTGATCCATATATTTTGCTGTAGTTACAATGTTAAGCGTATATCATGAAATACATATAGGCTATAAAAAAAGTCAGTGTATAGCATTTCTGTAAATACACGCAGAGACATTATCAGCTATACATTTCAACTTTGTCATATCTAAGATCCTATCCGATTTTTGCTGTCAATGGGATGACTAGTGTACCTTGGAGATGCCCTACTGTCTAATGCTGTTGATAGGTATGATAGCAGTCTTGTTAATAATGAAACTTTGGTAGAAGACTTAAATTATTCCCTCATCATGTTTGAAACAAGGAAGCAGTATGATTGCTGACCATGAAGCTTCCATTTACCCATTGCGAAGGAGAGCATTGCTCTGTTCGAGTTTCAATCCTTTCCTTTATGTTCTTATTGTAGATATTTTGTTGTATTTTACCATGTTTACTTAATGTGATACTAGCATAAGCTTTTGACTTCGATATGCATGTCACAGTTATATATGTCAGTCACTTTTCTCTTGTATATTTCCTTATTTCCTTTATTTATGATTCTTCTGGTTATTACTGAGGTTTGTTTTTAAGGTGACAATGACACATTCCTTTTGGAAACACACGTCAGTCTAGCTATGATACTGTACTCCACTGGAACATTTAGATGAAAGCCAAAATAACACTTTTGAAAAATGTGGTTTAATTCTTAATTTTGTTCTGATTTGTGAAATTGCAGAAGGACTTGTGTTTTGTTTGTAAATATTAGCAAAGAAAGATACAGATTCATACCCAAATTTTCTCAAATAAAATACAGGATCATTTCTGAATGTTGGTTCCAGTCTTCAACTATTTACAGACCGTCACCATATAGCTGGAATATTGCTGAGTGTGGTGTAAAACAACAAAAAAGTCTTGGTCAGAAGGTCTTATTTTGCAGGTATATCATACAAGTATATATCATAGCCATGTTGACTATAATGTCCAACACTGAGTTGGTGTATCCACTGTCAATGCCTAATCTTGTATTCAGTTATGTGTGCAGTTTAATGGTGGAAATAAAAGTTTCACAGATATTCCAGAAATTAATGTTGCTCGTCCAAACTTGAATTATCATTGCGCTTAATGGTTTTGAAGTAACAGTAAATGAAAGCACTGATTTTCCAGAGCTAATGCAGAATGTTTTATGACAATCGCTGAGTCAAAACGAAGTGTTGTTGTAATCCAATACCAGATTCTCTGAGAACTGCTAATGATTCTCCGACCTGTCTTTCCTCGATCAACAGTTATTGGGGGAACATCATAATTGTTTTTACAGGAGTAATGATTTAGAACTTATGTTCTGGTAATGACTATTTCATGGGTTGTGTACTGTTAAACTGTTGGCATTTTGTTGCTTGTGTTAATCAGTGGATGCTATAGAAGTAGTGACTGGGGATCTTTGACAATAGAATCAAGTTGAGTAACAGTTCCTTCAATATGGCTAGTTAACACTTAAAAACTTAGTATGTTCTGTGTTCAACATACTGTGATCATGCCCATAATCGATATGAAATGAGACTGATGTGATTTTGAAAATGAATGTTTTCACGATTATATTTTACATGAGGAAGAAAAAGACCTCATTTTTTATCCTTCTCAGATACTTGATTATTGAAGGGTTTTGGAAACTGTTACAGAAATGACAGGTTGTTTTGTGTGTATACTTAATACTTTGTTGAACAATTTCTGAAAGGCCCCAGTCACCCAGGAGGCACAAAGCATCTACAGCCAGGATGTGATTCTGTATATTGAGTAATGTGATGCTCCATTGCTCTATAAATGCATGTATTAGTAACTTTATGAATAAAGAATTGTATAATTGCACTTCCAACTTATGTGGTCATTCATATGATGCTTCTGATCAGCACCTCATCCACAGGTAACATGTAAGTGACTGGTAGTACACCATATGCTCTTTCTGCAAAGGTTAGAGAGCCTCTTGCTCAAAACATGTTTGATGAGGTTAAGCCATTCAAGACCTTAGTGTAGCCTTCAAGGGTTTTGTTTTTGGAGACACCTATGTGGCACCTATATTTGATTCATCAGTTACCAAAATTATTCCATTTAGACGTGTAGCATAGGCTTCTGCGCTTGTCCAGACAAACACTTCATGCTCCCTTGCAAGATCCACCAGGATACAGTCACCTTTTGGAGAAAATGTTTCTTAGGTATTTGAAAGTGTTTCATAAACCCATACTTCTTGTAGTTTGAATGGACGCTTCTTAAGTCTTAGATATCTGGAGGTTTTAACCGTCATATCTTTTATACCGCAGTATTCAGGCATATAAACAAGCCTTATTCCCGAATTACTTGAGATGAGGATGTTATGCTGTTGCAGGGGCCCCTAACTCATTCACAGGATCCTGCTAGCACCAATAGCATGTCCCTACCACTTACAAGAGCTGTATAGTATATGGAATCGTCACAGAAGAACCTGTGTGGATTATCCACAGGAACAGATTCCAATGGAGTAAAAGGCACAATTGTAGTGGCAATAATATCAACAGATCACTGGAAATCATTAATGACACCAGGTGTAGGTGATATATATACTTCAACATGTGGTGCCATATTATTTGTATCAGCAAGACTTTGCAATTAGTTTCTTTTCAAACAGAGATTTTGAACAAAATTATGGTAATGGTCAGTTGTTAGATTGATACAGATCAAATTTGTGGCCAAAGAAATGTTTTTGGAAAGGCTGGAGTGAGTTTTGTTTTAGGCCGCACTCAGCAATATTCCAGCTATATGGCGGCGGTCTGTAAATAATCGAGTCTGGACCAGACAATCAACTGATCAACAGCATGAGCATTGATCTGCGCAATTAGGAACCGATGACATTGTCAACCAAGTCAGCGAGCCTGACCACCGGATCCCTTTAGTCTCCTCTTACGACAAGCATGGTTTACTGAAGATCAATATTCTAACCCGGACCTTCACGGTTCGACACACAGACGCTCTTGAAAGGCTCGAATCACATTTCGTTGGACTGGCATTGACCAGACTTTATTAAGTGCTGTAATCACTGACTAGGACATGTACAATTTAGACTTGTACCACGTGAACAGACTCATCAAGCTGATCATTATCGGAAATATTGTTTGCTGAGTCACGTTCACAACCGATCCATATTCAACATACTCCATGCACTAACAACCCATGCGTATTATCTATAACGTTTGTAGTGGAAAGTTTCAGTAAAAGTCTGTTCCCGTTTTTACATCACCCCTTGAGGATTGTGACGACAGCTGTTCCTCAGATGCGCTTCCCTGCGGAATGTGGATGTGAGCGCTGTGTACCTACTCCCCTCCAGGGTAGGTGATCGTTAAGTCACCACTAAACAACCGCACCGTTAATGTCTATCAATCAATAGTCACACTCTGAATGCTGCATGAATATTGTGTACATGTCGCCATGCTCATTAGCAGCAATCGGTTTGGTCTGGTTCCTGGACCACTTACCAGTTACGTTGGGCGTGAGGGCCAAGCTTCAGCATACAATACACAGGTAGTTTTTGTATACGTAATTCGTTACAGGGTACTGAATGTCGTGGTTAGGTAACAGTAATTACGATAAACGAATCCCCTTTTGTAATATCACTAAATGTATTGTCACAACTGTCATTCGTATAAAAAAATCAAAGAAATAATGTTATTTAGGAGATAAAGATCATGTGTTGGCCAATTTCCGGGTGTTATTGAGTACTTAAAGCACGGGAATTCATTTGGAACCGGCGTTAGCCGGAGGTTTCAAATGAACTATTCCCGTGATTTCCATGTTCCGTCACATCCAAGAGACAACCGTATTCGTTTGGTGCATCAACGGAATAGATGCCCCATTAAACGGACTGACAATTAGGAACCAGTCGAGATAGCACATACGCCTCCAACGTCCAACCTTTCGCACAGGAGAGCGAGGCTAGGTGTAGACAGCATCTGAGGCTCAGGGTCCCGTTTCACAAAGCAATCGTAGCGCTACGACTGTCGAAAGTCTATGCTAAAGTATGGGAGTTACGATCACCTTAGCGCTACGATCGCTTTGTGAAATGGGGCCGCAAAAGCAAAGCTAGGATTGCACTCTGTCTAGGTGAGTTTAGGTTTCATCTGTACAGTTCTGACTGAATAGCAACGGTCTACAGGCGTCCAGGAGAACGTTTTGCTTGCATTACTCAACAAATTCAGTTTTGCGAGGAGATGTAATGGTATTGGGTGGTATCACAACTCATGTAAGACGTCAACTCAACATTGATATTAGCAGCTTGAATGACGTGCGCTACCAGCACGACATTGCTCGAGATCATGTTGTACACTTTGTGTAAAGACAGGAACGTCATGTTGCTGTTGCCTTGCTGTACGTCCATGGCCGGCTGTTTCTCAAAACCTCTGCCCTACAGGACACTGGATGAGATGGATGGACGCCCACGACAGGAACAGAAGCAGTTGTCGCCTGCGTCGCCTCGAGCGCCTGTATCAACGCATATTGTTGGCACTGTTAATTACTCATTTAGGGCGTGTCGCTCCGTCTCTACTAGGTATGGGTTTTGTGAAAAGCATAACAGATCAAAACATAATGTTGCTATTTTCAATAACTAAACATTTACACAACTATAGTTGAAACACAGTTACTTTGTTACTTTGTATATACGTTTTAAAGAAAATGTCTTTCAAAGAAATGTAATTGAAGAACACCCACAGAAATACCCATACGAAGAAAGGTGACGTCGGTGCGAAAATAAACAGTGAAAGATTCATTTCTAAGAAGAAAAATTGACAAAATCAATAAATGCGCTATCGTGTCACAGAACCTTCTCATCCGTCACTTTATTGTCTATTCTGTTTACAGGCCGCTGTCGTAAGGACAGGGATACCTTTGTTTGACGTCACGCAATAAAGTATTTAACTGTTTCATACAAAATGTGTAAGTACGGTGTTACAGGACATGTTTCCACTGTTCACGAACACCTGGTGTCATCACTGATTCTCGTCTATGCAATTTTGCCAGCCTGTCTCACAGTCCCGGAACCACATTATTTTCCCTACAGCCTAGCACTCCCTGCAATGCAAAGCCCTAAATGAAGCAAGTCTAGGTTTCTCCAGGTTCTGAATCTCTGGTCTCCCTGGGGCTCCTTTTCAATTTATGTGGGTTTATTTGTCACAATCAAATTTATATATATTCAGAGACTAAGCGTTAGACTAAAATTTTGCCTTTTGTTCCCGTTGTAGTCGTTTTCGGGGGATAGCCGAGACTGGTTATTCTCTCCCGTCAAGGTGATAAATTTACACGATATAGCTTTACTTGAAATATTTCGTCTTCCATGGATTTGGTATTTGAACCGGTACAGACACAGCTGTTGATTGCTAAGTCCTAAGTTTTAGTAACCCAGACATATATCGGGAAGATAATTTTACGGCTTATGCAATATATTTGTCGTTTGTCTTTCCACGAGTCTTCATTTACCAAAGTTTTTAATTATTTATTTGTCTCCGTACACAAAAGTACCAATTATATATTCAACGAATCCATGCTGCCTGAATACAAACAAACAACAAAAACATGTCCCCTGTACACAGACCTTAAATTGTTTTATTCCACGTGTGAATAATTTAGTCAAACTCCCCAGAGCGGGTCTGACCAGAGTGCTATTTGATTAAAAATGAGAAATGTTTTTCTGAACCTGTAAACATGTGTCTGCACCTATCGCCCCGGGTTTATCCTCTGGCCATCTGATTGTACTGGGTGAACCAAATCAGCTGTGGTCTACAACAAAGCCTCATTATACCGTTCAACCAAGTGAGACCGACGTACAAATACCAGTGTGTTTTGTTAAGTAATGACGCATGGAATATATTGACTAGTACAGTTCGAACCTGATCAGAATTTGTGATGACTATTGATGGTTTCCATTTATGCTTCTCGATGGAATATCGATTTTAATACTTTAGATCAATATCCAAAAGCTCATGAGTCACATACAGGGCCTTTCCGAGAAATCAGCTTACCGAGTATTATATGTAGTCTGTCTCGCTGAACCATATTATTTCATATCCGCCCAACCCTTAATGCAGTCTATCGTCCTTAAGTAGCAAGTCTAGATCTCCCTCAGTTCGGGAATGTCCCGTCTCATGAGGGCCCCATTTTCAATATATACTCATGGAAACAAATAAGGGAACACATGAAAGTACAAGTGTTCCTTTATTCTTTTCCAGGTTTCTTCACAAGGTATATATTGCATGGTGGGTGAAATTCTGGAAATAAATAAAGGAACACTTGTACTTTCATGTGTTCCCTTATTCGTTTCCATGAGTATATTTGTAGAGGCATGTTTTTATCCAAGTTATATGTTTGAAGAGACAGAGGTTACAACATTAAAGGTCTGAATAAATCTTTCAAAACGTTTTATTTTAGACATGACGTGGACATTTCCAAATTTGACATATCAATGGCACAAATGATGTCCCATGCAATTCCCTTTTGTGCCTGTACCATGTGTTGTGTTGCATTCAGGTGAACAATTGAATGTGTGCACATTTGAGGGATGCCACTGATTGGGCAACATTCGTTCACCTTGTTTAATAAAAAACACTATTCGATAGTGATTCATAAATGCATGCTCGTGATGCAGCCGCAGGCATTCAGTGGACCTTGTTTCTAGCAGAGCTTTCCATAGAATGTGGAAAGGGCTTTGTCGTTCTTATTTGTTTAAGATCAAGACAAAGGCTGGGCCAGTACGCTAAACAGTAAAGCATGGGCTGTTTTCAAATTAGACTTAGGCATTATGTAACATTATTTTATTCGGAAAATGAACTCGTAATGTTAGATGCCAA